ATAAACTGGTTACGCATTGTTTAAGGAATCTAAAGCTTGCAAAACATTAAGATTAAAAGAATTGATTTTTTAAGGTTACGAACTCTTGTTTTGCTCGATATCTGAATTTTATTTTGCCTAGACAGTGACAGATTTTTAAAATTCGGAGTCTGATATAATTTTGAAATTTTGCATGCTTCGGTAAATGTTGAGCATTTCGAACATATTTTTTTTAAACGAAGACTTATAAAAGGATCATCTACATTACACTCAATGCAATAATAGTCCTTTTAATGTTGTCCATAAAATCAACTCTTAACTATTAGCATTTAGACAATTTTACAATATTTTGTGACTCCGACAATTAAGCAAAGCAAAATGATATAACATCTTTAGTATCCCTAATTTATTAATATTTTCAATAAACGCATAATTATAAAGATGTTGCGCGTTTTTTTTTTTTTTTTTTTTTTTGATGAAAAGGGTTTAATATTCCACAATTTGGTGAACGTTAAATACTTAAAGATTTCTTATTTTATCGAAGATATTCCCAAAACCTCATCTCATCTATTTATTTTTAACAATTCAGTGCTAACATTTGAAAACGGCACAAAAGCCATTTGTAAACAAATGGTTTGTGGGCCCTTTACTCACTACTTGAAGTACACCCACGCGACACAACAGCAACATCGGGTAGGAGAAATTTTCCCCTTCCTGACGATGCTGTTGGTTTGCGTGGGCGTTCTTCGGGTAGCGAGTAAAGGGCCCACAAACCATTTGTTTACAAATGGCTTTTGCGCCGTTTTCAAATGTTAGCACTGAATTTACCTACAAAAATTTTTATTTAGATTATTTCACAGATTTCTAAGAAATTTACCGAAATCTCAACAGCTGAACGTTCGGTAAAAAGTTTTACAGTTTTCCTGTAATTTTTTACAGATATCTGTGAAAAATTCACAGATATTTGTGAAAAATTACAGGAAATCTGTGAAACTGTTTACCGAACGTTCAGCTGTTGAGATTTCGGTAAAATTTTACAGATTTCTGTAAATTTTTTTAAGTGTGTACGTAAATTTGAACAAAGACCTTGATTTTTCTTTGCAACTGTATGGAATAAATAAAATTGTGATTTTTGATATAAGTTATCGTAGTGGGAACAACGGCAAAATTGCTGTTTGCCCCTTGCGAGTGAAAAATAATAGTTTTTTTTTATTATTATTTTGATGATTTTTGATACTACACCGAATATAATTATTTGTGGTTTGTATCCCTAATGTCAGCCAAAGTTTCCCTAATATTGGGCCCATGCATAAATTTCGAAGGAAATCATGTTTTGCCAATTTTTCACTAGCAACCACCATTTGTATTGTCCAGATGACGCATTGTTCTAAGACAAATTGAAGAACAGGAGATTTTCATCGATGGGATCAATGTTTAGATCCAAATACCAACATTAGAGCCCTCCACACTACGCGCGGCCGCCGAAACGACCGGCGCACCCAGTCTTATAGTCGCAACAATCCAGTTCCCCTATGCGATATAAAATTGATTGATTCCAAGTAATATTGCAAGTTTTATAAAGATTTAAAGAATCCTTCAAGACCAAATTAGGGCCTACAAGACTATGATAAAACCAAAATTGGTACTTGGGTTGGGTATATATGATCTTTCCCGGTTTGATGGACACCCCTGCAAGTGAAAGGGAAGATAATCTTTTGAAAACCGTTATGCGAGTCCCAGTGCATTTCTTTTGACGTGACTCTAGTCACTTGTTGATCAAACTAAGCCGTGATTTGTCTCTGCCTCTATATGCAATGTGGGAAACTGGAGTTTTTAATATGGCCAAAAGTGAAAATAAAATTTTTAACGGCTTAAACTTCAAATTGATACATCAACCGAATCGCACTTCATTGGTATACGAACCATAAGCGAAGATCAACAATAAAATAATGAAATCAGTAACAAAAGAGTCCATAATACAGTAGGGTGTTTCATTTTGGAAAAACAAAGTGTCTAAGTATATGAGCCACCCTCCAGTTTGATTCATAACCATAAAATATAAGTCTGTGCAAAAAATGGTAAAGATTGATGAAGGTTTTAGAGGTTGCGCAAATGGTTTGAAATTTGTATGGGAATTACAGTCAACTCGATATTCTATAACGCAATGGATTCAGCGGTTCCTTTATTATATCATGTATTCTTGTCTCCATAAGTCGATATTTCCACAAGTAGATCCTTTGGTCGATGTTGTATGTAATGTTATTTTGATTTTATAAATCGATACTTCAAAGGCACAGTTTCTGAATTCTATGATATTGATGTTAAAATCAAAGGAAGTTTGTAAACATGATGGGCCTTATTACGGGTGTCACTACACGGTGATAATGAAGTGATACACAAAATAAGAGCCGTGATTGCCGTACAAATCAAATGGGAATCGCTTCACCGTGACGACAAGTGACAAGTTTTCACCGTGAAGTGACTTCCGTAATAAGCCCCGATAACTGGAGGGCACAGACAAATGATTGTTCATACACTGGACTTCGTTGCACTAATTGCAACGACATTTAATCAAATATTTAACTACACGGTCAACCAGGCCAACTCAGCAACTGAATTCAATTGACTCAGAGCATTTTCTTTCCATACGAAATTTACACATATTAGGACAAACAGTTACTTAAACCCTACAGTAAAAGTATGGACGACTGTCACCACAAAACTGAAAAAAAAGCTGTTCCAATCGAGCAAAGCGGTGCATTTTGACGGTTCGATTGGAACAACTTTTGACAGACGTCCATACTTTTACTGTAGGGCTTTTGCAGTTACTTATAGCTAATGAATGATTGTGCTACATTTCCCCGAATGTCACTTCCCCGAACGTCATTTCCAGAACAACATGTGAAAAGGGCATACAATTTTTTTTTTTTTTAATACTTTATTATAGAGATTTTTAGCCATAGGCTAGTTCATCTCTAAAGGGCATACAAGCTTTTTGTAAACAAACCTTCTTATGCCCTTTTCTCGCCACACATATGACACCAACGCAAACCTTCAACATCACCGGGTAGGGGACACTTTCCCCTTCCCGATGATATTGCTGGTTTGCGTGGGCGACCCTCAGTTGGTGAGAAAAGGGCCTACAAAGGTTTGTTTACAAAAAGCTTGTATGCCCTTTTCACATGTTGTTCTGGAATTTTCCCGAACGCCATTTCCCCGAATCCCAGACAAACATATACCCCATTTCCCCGAATTCCATTTCCCGAATGTAATTTCCTCGAATGAAATCCAAAAATTTATAAAATATTTTGACTGTATTACATTTCTAAGGTTGGTTTCGCGAGCATTAAGAAGACATCTTTGAATATTGCAACAATTAACCTTAAAAGAACAGCTCATGATTAAAAGAAGGGAAAATCTCTGTTCAAAGTAAAACAATGGGGCGAGAGTTTTAGTGAGGCGGCGGCAGTACCAGAAATGGATGTGTAAAAATTGGTAATATATTTTTAGGACATTTTCCCTTCTTTTATACATCAGCAGTTCTTTCGAGAACTTTGGCAAAACTAATATCGATGATTTGACAGATTGGTAATACATTTTTAGGAGATTTTCCCTTCTTTTTAAATTTATTTAGGAGATTTACAGCCGTAGACTTTTTTTTATCCTTCTTTTATAAATGTTTTTTTCGAAAACTTTCTCAAAACTTGTGAGATTGACGGTTTGAAAAATTGGTAATGTATTTTGACGAAATTTTTCCTTCTTTTATAAACGAGCAGTTCTTCCGAGAACTTAGACAATGTGAGGTCGATGGATTTAAAAAGTGATAACATAGTTTTACGAGATTTTTTCTTTTATAAATTCAAATCGAGGAATTTGGCAAAACTTGTGAGATATATGATTTGACAAATGAATCGAGGAATGCTGTGAGTTTTACACTCACAACTACTGACAGCATAGCGCCACCTTCTATGGACGAAAAATAATGTATGCAGATTTTAACATTTTTATTAAATTTTCGTTTGTGGAGGCAAAACGAGAAAAAATATTTGGTAGGGGTGTTGCGCCATAACATAAGTCACCTTTTGTACCAATATTATTTTTTTTTTTTTGAAAGGGCCAAGAAAAAGACTCTAATTTAATAAAATAAACATTTTCCGGTTTTCTGCGTACAAAACAAATCGCCATAACTTCTGTTTATTACTGTCACCTGTTGAAATTTGGTTGCAATAATTTCCGAAACAAGTTTTGCTAAATTTCCCGATGAACTGCTTATGTAAAAAAGTAGGAATAAAAATATTTTACCATTTTGTCAAACCATCGGTCTCTCATGTTTTTCCAAAGTTCTCGAAAGAATTGCTCGTAAATAAAAGAAGGCAAAATCTCCTTAAAATGTATAACCAATTTGTCAAACCCACGATATTTTGCCAAATTTTTCGTGCTCTTTGGTTTTGGTCTGTCTTTTTGGTTTAGGATTATTATTCTATACATAAAAATGAAAATGCTTTTAACGGCTCAATACATTAATATAGGGGAAAGAGGGGCATAGTGAGCATCATGTGCTTTGGCAATGCGTTTCTAGCTACTCGAAGCAAATTTATTGGTAGTTGGGTTAATCTCATAAACCTTCCATTTGCATGGCTTGAAATTTAATCTGGTTTGCAATCTGCTCACTACGCTCATAATATAGTAAGAAAATTGCCAGCAATAACGGTTGGAAATTTCCTAACTTTATTTTCGGGGATATGGCATTTGGGGAAATGGCACATTCGGGGAAATGGGTATTCGGGGAAATGTCGTTCGGGGAAGTGACATTCGGGGAAATGTAGCACAATCCTAATGAATAACTGCAGGTTTTTCCAAATATGAGTAAATTTCGTATGGAAACAAAATGCTCTCAGTCAATTGAATTTAGTCGCTGTGTTGGCCGTATACCTATGCTTCAATGGTAGTACAAAGTACACTTTTACTAGTTGTATACCATAGGTACTGTAACAGCAGTAGTAAAGTAAATATGTACCAACCTTGCCACTATTTGCTCAAACGACTCCGATGCTGAGCTTAGAACGTCACTAGCTGTAGAAGCATTATGTCCTTTAGGTTTTCGGCCACGTTTCTTCGGAATTTTGATAGCCGAACCCGAAGCACCCGAATATATGATTGGTCCTATGCCTGCATTTTGCAGCATAACGCTGATGGGCTTAGCGGGCTTACTTCCGTACGCGTAGTAATCCTTAGGAAGATTTATCAAAGCCTGGTGTTTGTGCAGTTCATCCATAGCTTTCTGGAATCCTGGCTTTTTTGGGTTTATTTTCAACGCATCGAAATCGCTGTCAATAGGCTTGACATAGGCCGCATCTACTACGGCACGGGAATGCTTGTCGCCAAAAAAGCGAACATCGTACTTGTTATTAACCACTCGAATGACTTTCGCCGGCCAGTACTGATAGCCCTTATGCTTAGCATACACCAACTCATGGCGTGTAATGCATGGTCGGGCAAACCAATCCGGTTCAGCCTTTTCATTCGAGTGTCGGAAACAGTCCGCGCACTGATGGATTTCATACAAATCGTAAACGCAGTCCGTCTCCAGATACATCACAGCATTGTACTCCATGGAGTTGGCTAAAAAAAACAAACGTAATGAATACGATATTAGTCGAGACACTTTTTTCGACATTCGTTACCTCCATGAATGATTCCGATGTTGTGAGCTATGTCCAAAATATCCACACCAAATTCTTCCAGGCGCTCGTACTTTTTATCTTCGATTTTCTGCTGAATTGTGTCCATGGAAATAGGATTACGTAGCAGCAGCTTTTTGCATAGATCCATGTTGTCCACTACTTCCGAAACACGCGGTCGGTTGTTGAACAATCGAGTTGGAGCGTAAGTATCGTGGGGAAGCTAAATAGAACTCAGTTAATTGGAATGCTATAAGTATGGTTATCAGTACTTTTTACATACCCAAGATTTGTACTCCTGGAACACAAACTGAAGCAAATAGTTCAGTTCCCCTTGGCTCATGTTCGGCGGTGTGTTGTACACATTGTTACGCATCTGCCGACATGGGTAACAATACCTCTGGATAAACTCTTCAGTATCCATTATATGGCTGCCATTGTCCTCCGGTTTGATTGTCGGAGTGTTCAAGCGTTCTTCCAGTCGGCGATCAGGTGGTCGCACAACACCTACATAAACCAGCTCATCGATTTGCTGCTTACAGTCTTCCTGTTTGATGTCCAGCTCGTCGATTTCGTCTTTGACTTTTGAGTTATCTGGCATTTCAATATCCACCGAGACTGTATGATTCTCGTTGGCATCAACCTGAGGCGATGTCGGTACCGGCGAAGGTTCCGTAGCAACCGTTATCGGAGAGCTGACCGAGTACGCATCCTTATTGGAAAGATGAGGAAGACCGAAGTCGGATATGTTGACTCGTTTGTATTTGGTGACAAATTTTTCCATCTCCACATGTTTCTCTGCCAATGTCTTCACGCATCTACGATGGAATACGCGATGGCAGTCTACGCATTTCTGGACATTTCCTTCCAGATGACATTCGTAGCAATATACGTCCGGATGATTTTCCGGAAAAGAGAAATCGGATATATCTGGCAGCGAATAATGGTAAACCGATTTGGGCTTCGGTTTCTTTGGGTTCTCGACAATTTGGATCAAACCGTCGACCACCGCATTGCTGACATAAGATTCAATTTGATCTGAAGGAAAACACAAATTGATTTTATCAAGAAAACATTATGCATACACGGACACTTACCTCCAGTGCACGATGAAAACAGTTTATGTAGATGTTTGACCAGTCTGGTGTGTTCGATTTCCTCTCCGTTGGCTTCCCGGATAGCGAGCCACATGGACTTCAGCACATCCAACGGAGTCTTGCGTTGATATCGCTCCATCTTCGGCTAACTTGCAGAAATTTGAGATGTTTTCATATTTGAAAACAAAAGACCAAAAACTCAAGCTTAATTATGTGTACCACCCATGTTGTAAAATAAAACTTACATTTACAAATCGCTAACGATCGAAACAATAAATTTTAGTCAATTTTCCATGGGAACTACGCCGAATTTCGCTTTTTGATAATTTGGCGCTACTTTTGCCGAGATTACGAGCTATCTGCTTCGAAATTATCACGATCACTGGTCTCGCTGCTCGTTCTTTGCTTGCTTGGAACGAATTAGTGAGAAAGGGAAAAAAAAAATGGCAAACAAAAAACCAGACTCGAAAACAGTCGGTGGGTTTCACACTGCATCCAGTTGTTTTTTTCACATGTGAATGCACTACACTGAAAAAAAAACTCCCGAAAATTGGCAAATCAAAGTTGACACTCGTGGAGAATAGAAGAACTATTGGCAACTCAAAGTTGGCACTAGTGGAGAATAGAAGAACTCCGGAGAACTTTGAGATTAGGGCGTAATTGGTTTTGTAAACAAACACGTCAATCGCCGATTTCTCGCAAATTAAAGCTCAATCTAAAAAATTAACGGCACAAACAGGTAGATAAATGATTGCTCTATCATTTGGTATGATTTGTTTGCGAGATTGAATTTCAATTTACGAGAAATCGGCGATTGACGTGTTTGTTTACAAAAGCAATTACGCCCAAATCTCAAAGTTCTCCGGAACTATGAGAGTGATGACGAAATGTTGATGCCAACCGGCAAATCAAAGTTGACACTCGTGGAGAATACAAGAACTACACGGAACAAAAAAGTTTTTGAATATTACATCCAAACTGCTGCAACCAGGTCAATCCATCGGTTTATTGTTTATTGTTTATCAGTCAACAGGTAAAATGTTTACCCCAATGACACTTGTTCTACACGGTTGTGTAATATAACGTTGTACCACAGACAAACAGACGTAACTCTTCTTTGTGTATCTTCGTTCACGCATTTAACGGTTGATTTGAATATTATCAGTTTCGCGAACTACTCGCCGCAGCGCTGGCATCGGATCACTTTGACGTTTCTATACATTCTATAGAACTTTCATGCAATATTGTTTGCGAGTTAGGGAGCAAGCTTGTTTTCCGCGAGAAGCCTGAAAGATGTCGCTACTGAGGTCATATGTTTTGAGAAACTATGTTTTCAAGAAAAACTTTTTCAAAGAGTTACGTCTGTTTGTCTGTGGTTGTACGATCACAAACGAAGTGACAGACGGAGAGGCTCAAAACTTTGGTGACTAACCTGCTATTGCAATTTTTCAGTGTACCACATGGCAACACCACTACTACCACAAACGAAGTTACAGACGACTAACTGGTGAAGAAATCCATTCAAATAATGTGGTTCACTGTAATAGAATTTTCTTGGAAGCTTGTGCCATCATCCACCAGATGGGTTAGTTTTTTTGTTTTGATTTGAACAAAGTTGATTTTGTGTACAATGATTCTTTGACAGTGTGCAAAGAGTGTATCATTTCGTCATTTTTTTATGCATTTCAGTTTTGAGTAGAGTGAAAGAGATAGAACCAAAACATTCTAATACATTTGGTGAAAATGCTAGTACAATCCAGTAGTAGTGTTGCCATGTGGTACAATCCAGTAGTAGTGGTGTTGCCATGTGGTACACTGAAAAATTGAAATAGCAGGTTAGTCACCAAAGTTTTCGAGCCGCTCCGTCTGTCACTTCGTTTGTGCTACTACTGGATTGTACCAACAATCAATACGAAACTAATGATTTTAAATTGGCTCACTACTTGACTAGCCTATTGGTCCCAAGCAAATGATTAACGTACCCCATTCTAGTCGAAATTCTAGTACTACGCAATGTTTGTTTTGATACTCTATGAAAGTTTGACAGATAAAATGAGGGGTTATTGGTTTTTCCTATGTTTCGAGGGGTGATTCGACAAGCTTGGGACCGAAGATAGTACCAGAGGTGAGCCAAAAAGTTGAGCACGTTTCTTTGGGACCTACTTGTCTTAGAGTTACCTCTATGATTGTACCACATGACAACACTACTACCACAAACGAAGTTACAGACGACTTTCTCCGAAGAAATTAATTAAAATAATGTGGTTCTCTGTAATAGAATTCTAGTCCACCTTCCGCTCCTCACCGCCAGGTTCGCTAGTATTTTTGTTTTGAATTAATTCAAGTTGGTTTTGTGTGCAATGATCTGGCAACTCGCGTTCTCGCTCGCATTTACGGGGTGCTGTTTTCTCACTCATCGAAGGAAATTTTGATTAGAGTGAGAAAGTAAGAAATAGTCAGTGCGGGAGCCGTGTGCGTTACTATAGGTGCGGCAGAAGGAATGTAGTCGACTCTTTCGTTCTTACGCATGATTCATCGTTACGTTACACTAGATTATGCATAAGAACGTTGTGATAATGAAAGAGCTGACTTGTTTCCTGCTGCCTCATCAATCACATTGATCACAGCACTTGCGATTCTCCATCGGCTCGTCTCGCTGCGCGTATGTGTTTCGCGAAAATATTAATTTCAGGAAAAAAAATTATAAAAAAAAAGTGAATATCTTCCGAATCCTGCGTAGAAGTTCCGTCTTGTCGCGTCAAGAATCCGTGGGCAGTGTCGAAATAGTGTGGCACATTCCGCTGCCTTAAGTCGCTGGAAGCACACGCGTTTCGAATCTTTACTATCTCCCATCCGCTGACTCCGGAGAAGTTACGAAGTGAAAAATCTCTTGTGTGAATATTTTCCATCTTTCGTCTCGCTACGTTTCTTCCCACTGTATACCTCTGCTCATAGTTCCGTTCAGTTGGCAAGTCAAAAAACCATTCTATCAGTATTTCACGGAATCATCTTAAAATCAGCTTAAAATCGGGAAACGAACGGCCGTAAAACCATATTGACAGACGGTAGCATTTAGCCGTTCCCGAAAGTAGCAGGTCAACTTCCGTGAAGGCCACTAAAAGGAACAATCTAGTCGCCGCACTTCATTCTGCGGAACTTCTCTGCCGTTCTGGACGGCAGACGACACTATTTGGAGCACCAGAAGTAAGCGTCTATCCAAATAATGGCTCTCAGTCAGACGTCGGTGGTGAGTCATCATTAAAGTCATCATTATTTCATATATCAGCTTGAATTACGTTGATCGATATTACATTTTTTTTCTGTGTAGTCTGACCCTAAATAGATACTGCCAGCACCATCACCATTCACATCGTCATCATAATTTTCAGCCAAACCCGACAGCTGCTCCCCCAGGAAAGAAGACACACATCGTACGCAACAACTACAGCATCCGCAACGGGGAGGTTTTCGTGGAAAACAAGCTAAGTGGAACGCCAAAACTACACCAGCAGCAGCAGCAAAGACCCAGGGAGGACGATACCGATGACATCACCGCCGAAGAAGGACTGGTTATCGAAATACGTAAAGCACTACATGCTGTGAATGAAGCGGAGCACCCGCAAAAATAACCTCATCTCGCAGAAGAATGCCAACGTAACAACAAATCCTTCGGATATGCTGAGCAGTAAGTTGGGACCGCTGCCTTCGCTTTCGCCGCCGAAAGTGTACGTCAGCGATTGGCCCGATATTCGCCATGAAGATCACCGAGAAGAAGTGGGATATTCCCGCCGTACAACGTACCATGGTTACATGGTTTAGATCGCCACGGGCTCTAACCTATCCGGAAGCAACTTCTAAACTAATGTAAACTGTCGTAAGGATGCAAATAAATAAGAGTTTATAAGGGAATTTCTGCAATCGGTTGTGTTGGTGCTTATTTATTGGTTGAAATGTTATGAAAGAACATATATTTAGATGTATAGTTTTTATGTAAATATTTATTGTGAAGTATGCGGTTTATGTATTCGATGCCATAACGTATTAACAATAAAAAAAACTTTAAGAAATCATTTAGCACCCTACAATGCCGGACCAATCGCATGATACAGATACCACAGACAAACAGACATAATACATTGAATATTTGTCACTGTAAAACATCGTCGCTAAAACATTACCGCCATCTGTTGAGTACACTGTGGTGGACACTACGCTGAACAGATGGTGGTAGTGTGTAAACGTCAAATGCAAGGGAATTGACTATGCGCGCCACAGGTGGTGGTACTACCAACTACGATACTTTTAAATTTTCCGTTAAATGCTTGTTCGATGAACAAATTTCGAGTGTTATGTCTGTTTGTCTGTGCAGATACCATCTAAAAAATGTCTCGATTTAGTTTTAATAGTAAAATGTCCTCCAATGCACCTCCAATTATTCAAAATTGAGTTTTTTTTGTTTACTCAATTTTACCTAGCCCCTATTCTGTATTTCGTTCGAAACGAAATTCCTGAAAAAAAAAAATTTTGTACGAGAATTTCGTTTTGAACGAAATACACAATAGAGGTGATAGTTTCGGAAGTAGTGCGCATCATTGTGCGAATACATCGCACTACTTTCGAAACTATGTATAACGTATAGAACGAGAGTAAATTCAACTGTACCGATGGTAAAATCTATTGTAAATGATTGTTATTTCAATAAATAAAATAATCATTTGTTTTCATATGCCAATTATTTAAAAATAGCATCTCTACACAGACATAATTTGGATTGGGCAGAGATATAAAATGTATAAGCAATACATTTCATGTTACAAGTCTGAATCGATGTATATAGATTATATACATTTTCTATAATTTTTAAAGCATAACCACAAACCTATTTTGGGCCGATCAAGCAGAAAACATCAAATAAATCCATGATTTCAGAGTTAACAAGTCAATTATGGGTTTGGTACGATACTTTAGTCAATTAGCTATCGAACAAAGTCAATGCGAATGCGTGATTTGAAGCTTTGCACCCATAATTCACAAAAACAAAAGAAGCGCTCCGACCGAATCAATTTTTATCTTCATCCGATAGGCCGAAGTGAATTCATTGGCGTTTCAATGCGTTAGCCGAGTTTAGAATCCGTAGGCCGAGTTTGGCATCAAGAAGCAGTGTTAGACTTTTGACAATATCTCAACGATTTCTCTTTATTAAATCTTACGGTACGTACAGAAAGGTAAATAAATTTGGAAGCCATCAGTAAGAATAACATTTCGTTTGATGCTAAACTGTGCTAGATTAAGAAAGACTAAGTGCGTGTTTTGCTTAATAGACCGGAAAGGGGGTAGTTAACCCTACTAAAAATATCCACTAATTATATGTACTGCTTGGAAGCCTCACCCAAGCTAAGAA